TGGTCTGATACACGTGTAGGCTTTCATCCACCGACCCTGACCCTATACTCATATTGTATACTGTCGTGCGTTTCATTGTCATTGTTAGAGTATGGAACGAGTGATGGATGGTATCTAGTCTGGATTTGGTCTATCAAGATTACATGTATATAACCTGTCTAAGAATCACTGAGACAGATAATCAATTCAAATCAATTTATTCAAACCATCTTTTATTTCTCCACAGTTTATCACATATTCTCCCGATTCATATCATTATTATTCTATTCATAAAATCGCGCCCATATTCTTTGAGCCGCCTTCCTCATCGAACCGATACCGGTTTTCCAACAAGACGTCAATGCAGTGCGGATGAAGAAGAATTCGAAACTCAAAAAGTTCGATGCTAAGTCAACAGTATTTACCTCGGAATTAGCAATGAATTACGACTCGAGCTTTCCAGATACAGAATCAGAGACAAATCTAGAAGCTTTTCCCATAAGAGCAAAAGCCGTAGTTCCTAAAGGAGACCAAGACACCGGCAGGGTTACAAGGTATGGTGGTTGAAAAAGGGTCTCTGTGACGCATAGCATTGGCTCGTCACAGGATCATCACGCTAATACGACGCCAAAATCAGATGGCCGACGTCGGAAGACTCCAGCTAAGGTTACAGACGCACTCTCACGGACAATATTCCTAGATCCTGAGTGTGTAAAGGACAACATTTTGGACTCTCTAGGTAAAATTATCGACGATCAGGACGGTAAGCCTAAGTGGGTATGGTAAGACGGGAAGGGGGAATATGTGGAACGTCTACAACTGCGCAAGATCCAGGAAGATGACGCCACCATCCTTGATTCAAAATTGGTTGAGTATTCAGCTAATTACCCGCATAAGGATAGCTTCGAGGAACAATTAGATGTTCTCGCTACACAAATGGTATAAAGAGAAACAGAGTCTAAATACCAAGAGTCGGAGCGGCACCGAGAAATCTGGATTGCACTCACAAGGGCCTCCGACCCTTCGAACCTCGATCGAGTACAGGTTGCTAGATTAAAGCGACGTTGCAATAATTTTGAGGTGATCGGGGACGATCTGTTCTTTCGGATGATAGCGGTGCATAAGAAGTGTGTAATACTCCAAGAAGTCTCGGAAGAAATTCGAAATATTCAAGATAAGAAAGGTCGATTGAAAAGCTATGAGGAAGAAACTTCATCCAGTGTATTGAGGACTCTTGGATATGGCTTGCCATGGTAGCTTTCATGGAAAATCCTACCTTTTATGTCTGATTAATGAGAATGATATACCGAGAGCCTGTTACGGGGACCAACTCAAGTTATTCAAACTTAGGGAAATTCATTTAATCACTGGTCGAGAAGGAAAAGTACCTTTCTATCAGAACCTCCGTGCAGGAACAGCAAGTCATAAACTATCTGCAGCCGTCGGAACCTAGGACCCAGAATAGAGTGCAGACAACTGATAGCAGCTACAGGACTTATCATGGGATTTCATAACTGATTTTGGGAAATGGAGTTATGTTTGATGTTTAAATCTTGCCATTACACGAGCACTTTTATGGTCTGGAGAGAGTTATGGATCGACTGATTATCCTGAAGTCTATCATGGTAGTCAGAGTATGTGTTTTATTCACCACGTCGAAGGAAGCTTTATAATCTCGTAAGTAACTAGACAAACTTTTAGAGCGGAAACAAAGGGATAACAGTACTCGAGCTATCTGCGAATTGTCGAGAACGACAAGTTGCTGCTACGGGACTAGAGATGTAGCGGGTTACGTAATGAGGTTATGTATTTAGAACTGGTAGCGCGGTGGTCGTGTATTTACGCATCGTAGAGAGATAACAATAGAGTACTTGCGACCTCCCGCAGCTCCGAACCCTAAAGTATTTCTTCCTCCGACCGAACCTAAGCTGTTGGAGAAAGCTGCACCGAAAACAGTTTCAACGAAAGAGTCGCAATCTCAAGCTGCCATTGAAGCTGAATGCTCTTTGAAACTTCGACCGTTCTTCGAGGCCGAAGAACGATGCGCCGCCGAAACACCGGCAAATTTGGCACTCTGTTCTACCGCTATCCCTGGCGTCGATGCAACCCTTCTTTCTTTGGCCAACGGGTCAAACAGACTGTTCGTAGACTCCATGAGAGTCTACTTACGCGCTGCCATTGCGCCACCCGTCCTTCCTCTTCGCCCAGCGAACCCTCCTCCGAGAGCTCCTGATGCCAGGAGCCCAATCATACCCGCCGTCCCAGCGCTACCTGTTAAAAGCATCTGGGCCACGGTAGCTAAAACTGGACTGCCACAAAAAGCAGTCCCTTCAGTAAAGGCTGTGCCGCAGCCCGTGGCCAAAGCCCCAAAGGCGAAAGTTGACAGACGACTTTTCATCCGCCTCGGTAGCGACCACCCTTGGAATAAATTATCTCCCCAGGCTGCACGAACTGCAACCCAGGTACAAACCGGTTGCAATCTATATATGGCTGACCTTATACACCGAGTCAGAATCGGTTTCGCAATCGCGACAACCGATGAAGAATTTAGACAGAAAATTCTGGATGCCTCCTGACCCTGGAGAATATAAACGTCAAAGTTGAAGGGGCTTCGGATCTAGTGTTCTTACGGATACAAAATGTGTCCGTAAATATCATACTAAAACGCGACCCGGTGAAGAAAGAGCAGTTTGTGTCAATTCGACAAGTCGAGCAAGAGAGGTTTACAGAAGCAGTCCGAGCAATAGCTGAAGCCATAAGGGCAGAGAAGGCGATTATCGCCTCAAACAAGGACGTCTCCATGGCGGAGTTATCAGGCTTTGGAGTTCTGGAGTCCGAAGAAGAAGTCTGAGGAGATGGTGACTTTGATATCGCCCTACAGGCGATTATTAACCAATAGTAGGATATCAGCTGTATCAATGGTACCCGCTAACCCATCTCTTGCTCTCAGCAGAGATCGGAAAAGTTTTTATCTGGAAGATTTGACGGGCGAAGCAATTTGTGAGGAGCGCATTGTTTGGGCTTAATGTAGAAGAATCTTCTGACTTTAGGAGTGTTTTCATGCTGTTTTTTTTTAATATTCTTGCTTTCGGTTTTGTCATAATCTGCTACAATTTTGGTAGCGATTCACGCCGTTGGAATGAGTGGGCTTTGAAAAAGAACACGGGGATCCCTGCCGGCTCCACCGGTCCTATACCTATAGTAGGAAGTAGAGCTTCCACTTTAGCTCAGGACTTTAAATATTTGACAATAGCAAGTAACACCGTAATCTGACAAGGGCCCAAAGCAGTCTAGTGATTCAAATACGAAGTGAGCACATGGGGCTCAACTCGTATTTATACAGAAGAAAAGTACCCGGAGTCTACAGTCCAAGCTGTCCATGTAGCTACCAATCGCAGAACCTCATGCACATGATTATGTCCTGCCCTCGATGGTCAAATGGAAGAGGAGAGATCTGGAGACAAGCGAAAGATCGGTCCTACGAAGCTATGCTAAGCAATCCTGGAGATATCAAAAGGATAACACAGTGAATCCTAAATCATTGTTGGATAGAGCAATTCCAGATGACAAAGGCGGTCGAAATGCTGCTGAGGGAAAGGAACAGGTCATGCCTTTCTTGAGGTCGATAAAGCTGATATGATTGGGTTATATGGGGGGCACTATAGTGTAACTGCGCCCGTGAAGGATACATTAAAAAAAAACATAGAAATTAAGCAGGAAGGTTTGGGGGTTTTTGACCAAAAGGTTTTCTCCCATGTAAATTAGAAAGTATGATAGACACCTGCATGGGCCCATAGGGCGCCAAATCAGGATAATGAAAACAAATTCTAATAGCAAGTAGCAAAATAACACTCACAAGGCAAATAATAGATTTCCACACCATAAACCCCGACAAACCAGGGCCTACAGAATGGACGAGGGTGCCATCTAAAAATCAATCGATTCCGGAACAACTGCCACGAAGTTCAAGAAGAAGATGGAAACGGACAAAAAATAAAATATTAAATTAATCACTAAAAAAAGAAAAAAGTAGAGATAAGTATGGGGTCTAAACATAATTTTTGAGGGCGGGTACTGCCACGAGACTAAGTCGCAGGAATGGCTTAGCAAACTTGGGAATTAGAGACTTCCATGTAAATAGTTGGATTTACTATTCTCATCGCACAACACGGTTCTATTCTGACCCATCCAGATCGCGATATTCCTATTATACATTCCATGACATTCGCCCATTTATTACATGTCAGGCCAATTTAAAATCGTCAGCACACCGGGTAGTATATTTAGACTGAGCTGTCCAACACGAGACCTTACGGTTGTGCTGTGAGCAAACACGACCTTTAAAAAGGCCCATTACACCACCGCCGTATCGGCTGCTGCGTACACTTCGGAAACTCATCGGATGGCTTTTAAAATCGAAGGTTTCACTCATAATCGGCTCTGTGGACTCTAAAGCGAGAGCTGGAGGTTCATAGGGGATACTAGTGACGGGTATTGAGAATAGTCCCCCGAGAAAGAGAAGTGGGCCAACTGTTGTCGCAACAAAACGAATCAGTCGTAAGCATATACGCTGTTCTTTTTGAGGTATATGTTCACAGATTTAGTTTATTTCTAGAATCGAGTAATATCTTTGAGTATGGTCCTCGACCAAATACATACCGACGCAACTATTTCTAATCGACTCCCCATAGCGACCCCAAAAGTTCAACCTTTGTCGTGGCTAGGTGTCATCTATGAAGACTATTTTAATCTTAGGCTGTCAAGGAACGCCATTTGCTGTTATTCATCCTTCATCTTCCGGTATACTCGCATATATAATTGGAAAGAACGTAAAAGCTAATGGCACGTGATGAACAGCAAAGAACTGCTTTGACATCGCTGGTCAAAATAGTATGTCTTGGCGTTTTTTACTGTCTGCTGTTTGAGGTGCGACTACCAATTACCACTTTCATGTTGATCATGATGTTTGCCCAAACACGGCTTATAACTTTGGTTTCGAAACTAAAGTCGGACTATACTTAATGTTTACAATTTTTAACGAAGCTATCATGATTGTCAAAGACGTTTTCAATCTTGAGCTATCAAAAGATGAGGACACTACTCCTAGCAAGCAGCGCTCGGTGTATCATAGGCCAAGTGTTGCCGATGCGCTCGCTGTGAAGGAAATCTTGCTAGCAAAGCTCCCCATGGAAATGGTAGATACAATCATTGACTCTGCAGAATATTGGCCCCATACTAGTGTAGCTCTAGAGCAAGGTCAACCTGAGAATTCAAGTCAAAATAAAACTTCTATTAGCATTGTGGCTGGCACCAATGAAAATTGTTTCTTGGTGAGCTTAGAAGCCCGGCAAATTTTCTTACTGACCTTTTAAGCTGAGGTCTTACCCACTTGGTTATATTCCCAAGGTACACGACCCTTCTAATATCTCATTTGAATCCAAAGAATACCCAAATATTACACCTAGGCCAGGAGTCACGCCAGATAAAACATCCTCTACGCTTGAGCTTACTAGAAAGACACTTTCCCAATGGACTGATGAAAGCCAAACACGAGGAGATTTTCCTTGTCGAAGGATAGTATTTACAATAAAATCTCACGATCAGGGCTGGGGGGGCTCTTTTGGACATCGTGGAACATATCAAGGATCCTTCACATGGTTTGAAGTTGGCAAAGAGAAGATAATATGTGTCAAGGATAAAATTTTAGAAGGAAAGATTATCGATAATGGCGGGGATTTGATCAATCTTCAGGACTTACCTCAGATACTTTTACCAAAATCTGTTCTAGAAGTACCTGAAAGTTCAGAATCAGTGCGCCCAGTATGTACGACCCAGACCCTATCTCCAACAATAAATTCTTTAACTACTGAATCATCGTACCTCGAAGAAGCTCCCCGTACAGAGCAGAGTTTCTTCCATCCGCTATTGCCTGATCAAAATATTCTCCAAAAAAATCTGACCGCTATTGGAAGTACAAAAGAGCATGTTGTTGTATGGTCTTACGATGATGACATTAACCCTAAATCAGAGGCTGCCATTGAATTGGAAGAGAATGGTCGAGGCTGCAACACCGGGAACGGCTCATACGTGAGAAGCATGAGACCTGGCGATATTGTGACCGTATGGGGTAAGTCTAGGTTTAGTCAATGGGTTAACTACGTTGAGGGTCTGAATATAGATGTTTACTGGGCTGTATGAAAGCTGCTATTTAAAATCGAGCGGTTCAAAGTTATCTTGCGACTTCAGGGTTAGAAAATCTTCAAGTTCGCTTGGGGTTCCCCATTGAACTTTTACATTTGAGAATGGTGGGTATAACAGATGCATTTGAACAATTGTCGAGCACCGACTTGATAATATGTTAATTTGCGTGTAACAGAATTTATAGAAATGTATGGTACATGAAGCGTGCAAACAGGTCCTCAAAGTCCCAGGCCTGCAGAGCGAAGACAGAACACCTGTAATCCTTATCCTTTACGATTTTGAGGATAAAATATTATCTTGGAGGCAAGCTCATTCGAATTCTACAAAATCGAAGTTTTCCCACTAAACATTGACTCATGACCTCCTACCACATTAACCTTTCCCTGTCATCAAAGACGAAATTTTCATTTTCCAGTGGTGCCGGCGTAATCGCTCAGTGTGTGTTGTGCTATCCATGTAACTTACCACGGTACATGCTTTAGGTCGCGTCATAGCATATGCACGTGACTGTGGAACTAAACCGTGGGGTGTTTAGTTTGTAATGCATGTGTGGGTACTCTGGACCAAACTAGAACTCGATGGAATAGAGATAATGGAATCAGCGGGAGACTGATAGACTGAGAGAGAACGAGCTGGTCATCTCTCGAAGGAGAGAAATGATATCACAAGGGAATGTTCTAGCACTAGGCTGTGAACAACACAGTAAGTCTGGAGCAAGATATAAGGAGGTCCCAACCTCCGTCCATTCGTTGTAACTAAGTTTCCTTTATGCGAGAATATAGAGTCAAGTCTTGCATATCACGGGAACACACGCGACAGCGACTATAGAGACCTACTGTGAGCATAACTTCCCCAAGAGTATCCATCATCCTGCTCCCATACAGCCTAGTTAATATAACAGTATGCTTTGCATATCTGGGACGGCTACGAAGAATCGTCTCTGGATCGAAGCCGAAAGCAGACATAGTACTTATATACTTGACGACTTCTCGTCTACAACGGCCTTCTGATTGAAATATTTTCTGAACTTATCTTTGATATTGTATTATAGCTAGATAGCTGCAAACGCAATTAAAATCTGATGCAAAAAAAACCCGCGTTATCGACCGACTAAGTAGTTTCTCTGATTGTTAACGAGAGCCTACCTTATTAATTACCGGCTATCACCCAATATCAAATTTATCACACTGTGTATACCCGGAAGGGGTTCGATGGTGCATTGGTACACCATCCGAGCCGTCCTCCCAAGTGGATACTGGGTAGCTTGAACACCTACCCCATTCGAGACAGGAGAAACCTGGTTCGAGTCTAGTAAAACCTACACACCACTCTCTCTCGCGGTGACATTATATTTGTGGGATGATGAAAGCACACTAGGATAGCCACAGGATTTATACGCTTTTCCCTGAGGAGAGTATGCACGGAAGAGGTTGTACGCCGTATGGGTTGACCTCGAATGGTGTCTGCAATAAAAATCTGAGTGTGAGTGTTCTAAATGTCAAATTGAGTCGTCCTACTTAAAGTACATATCTTCCGATTAAAATCAGCATGGGCCTCAAGGCGCCAAGTCAGGTAAAAAGAACTATATATATATATATATACCCGGAAGGAAAAAATTGTGTCATAATACACTAATGTCGGGTCTTGGTTTACGAGGGAATGTTTCTCTAGTGGGATTATAAATTTTTAGGAAGGACAGGCAGCTAGGGAGTGGGACGAAAGAGTGAAGAGGTCACAAATGAGTATGCTGGCACTGACTTTTTCGCCTTGTAAACTTGCCCTTATCTCTCACGTCCATCCCAAAGAACTGCCTCCCAAATTTGTGCGCCAAGATAGGTTTACTTCTTCGGGTATCTAAATTTTTGTGGGCGTGTATTTGAAGGCAACTTGAGATAAGAGACTTAATTAGCGGGATTTGCGATTAAGGGACGAGGATTTGACGGGTGGTAGTGTCGCGGGATCAATTGATGATGGTAGACAACAGATCAAGTCCGAAAGTAAAATCAATCAATTGTTCTAATCTACAGAAGAGATCTAAATTGTTAATCATATCTATACTAATTAGATCCCTTTCAATATCATGGTCTTGGGGACACGGTATTGATTACCAACCTCACACAACCAGCCCAGCGACAGCTATTTTTCTTATCTTTTTTTTTTTTTTTGCATCAGATTTTAATTGCGTATGCAGCTATCTAGCTATGACACAATATCAAAGAAAAGTACAGAATAGATGATTCAACGTAAAGGAGGAGCACTCATGCCTCAGATTTCATTTGCAAGTACCACTGCGAAGTTGTGGTGGCTTTTTCTTCACCCCAAGTCAACCCTCATCCGTGAATACCCACCCAGGGGAACGTCTCAAAAACCCTGGGTTATCCAGACATACCTCCATCATCATTCAACTTCTCTCCGCGCGAAATATGATCTGAGATGTCTCCTTCCCAAGTGGAGTAGGTGCCCAGGCTACTCAAACTATACCAGAGAACATCACCAGGAGTCGGATCACAACACCATCCAACCATGGCGATGTTTATAGTATCGCCTCCACTCTCGCGAGCGAAGTCTTGGCGCGCACAAAGCCCAATTCATAAAAATATTGCCAAAATTCGAAATTTCACGCCCGCCGAGAATGTTTCCTTCCTTTGCATCATATTATGAACTTGTCTTGCTCCCTCTCACGTTCATCGCCAAGAACAGTCTCCGAGATTTGTGTGCTACTCTTTGCCTCCTCCTGCAGGTGTAAATATCGGCGTGGGCGTGTATTTGGTGACGAGCTGAGGCCGGAGAAAGTCTACGAGTGGTTTGGTCATTGGAATGAGGATGTACTAGGTCGTGCTCGTAGACTTGATGAGGGTTAGGTAGTGATCGATTTTGTTGGGATTGAAAGATTCACATGGTGGAGTAATTTGAATCATTGCCTTGTGGGCCGATTTGCTCGATATTGCGAAATTTGACTGAACTTGGCTCTGGAAGAATATTTTACTCCCAGCTTCGTAGAGGACACCGCGTACAGGTGTTCAGTGTTGCCCTCCTTCAGCTCTACTCATAAAGCTGTGGTATCTTATATTTACACAAGTATTTCTTGGATTCACCTGCCAGCCTTTGAAAGACGAGTTTTGCACTTGAAGCTATCAGGTCCTCATAAATTCCTTCGTTGTGGCGATAATTGCGTTGAATGGATCGATGCTATGTTTGTTTTTTCATTATTTGACGTTGTACCAGCTCTCAACTCGTTTCCCAAGGGTTTAGTTTAATTTATCGTGCCAGGCTTATACCCTCCATCCAATAGACATGACGCGCATGGGGGACATCTAGAGTACAAGTTCCTCCATTCTCCAGCAAAGGCCATACGGTGCCTGATTTTTCCAAATACGTGCCTCACGCTAGTTACATCGGGTCGAATAGGTAGGAACGCATTCACCATGATCCTGAGACCATGTATTGAGGGAAAACCTTCGTGAGAAAACCTCAATATTTCCTCCTGTACTCTTTCACGACGAGCAGCTGTAGTCCCCCCTTAAACAGGCCATTTAGGAATCCAACCTACCACTTCTAGAAAGCACATCCAGCACCCGACCAACTGTGCCAACAGCCTGTTGAAAATCACATATCGTTCTTCCCAAATTCTCCCCTGCATTGCGCTCAACCCCAATTTGAGAGGACTGAAATTCCGAAATCGAGAGCTCAAAACCGAGGCATCGGTGCCCTAGCTTTGGTCATACATTGTTCGTTGTCTGAGTGAGGCTTCTTCGTTCGCGCCGTCTTTGGAATGTGTCGAAAAGTTGATGTCGCGGTCGAGGTGCTTGTCTAAAATGAGGCCGAGCAATTGCCCAGTCCTGCACACAATATTAGTAAGGTTGAAAGCGAAAGGAATTTTACCTTTGATTTTGGAGGGTTGTTGGTGAGTCGTAAAGTCCTCCCAGTCAAACCCAATCGGGAAGTTGTTAGAAGACTGAATAGAGGAGACCCAAACTTAAACTTTCGATCTATCGTGTCGGGAACGGAACCTTGCCCATGTGTCAACCATAATCGACTGGGCCACACTCAGCAAGCTGCCGTTGCGAAGGATGCGATTCTTCTTGGCTATCCCAGATATGCAGAGCATACTGAGCGATTACACAGGCACCACTGGAAGGAGAAGAATTCGACTTTGCCGGCGTTTCCAGAGCGTTGATACCGTGTGAGAAATATAATTCCTAATTTTGAAAGTTGTCACGTGATAAGGCAGATCGCGCTTAGGCCAAGTATACAAACTGTAATTGACATCAACCTAGTGTTGCAGTATACTACTGCGACCTCATGTATACGACATCATGCGATTGATACCAGGATTTATTTCAATCGCTACAATCTTACTGCCAACGGTTACAGCTATATTTGCAGATAATGCATACGACACTGATTATCACCACGAACTAATAGGGTTACCTCAACCTGAAACAACATTCTTTTACAGACCGCGGAAAAATGATAAAGCTTCGCTACTTTACACAGTTACTGACCTTGGAATTCTAGGCGCCATCAATCCTGGTACTGGTAAGCTACTCTGGCGACAAATACTTGGAGAGAGAAACGCGACAAAGATTTTAAGGGGCTCAGAAAGCGCAAGCATAATTTTCTCAGCAGTAGGCAGTGAGGTCTCGGGTTGGGATTCTGTTAGTGGAATGTTAAAGTGGAGCATCGAATTTCCCGGAAATATCAAGGATCTGGAAACCATAGACACTGTTGGGGACGAAAGCTTGATTGGAAACATATTGGTGCTCTATGAAGAAGATGGTATTGGGGTAGTTCGAATGCTTAAAAGCGATACTGGTGACCTTGTATGGGAACTTAAGGACAAGGATGGTGGCATTCCATGGAAACTGAGCAAGAACTTGAGTAATTTTTTTTTGATCTCATTGCTAGATATAAAAGACTCCTATAACATAAGGACTGTAGTTATCAGCTCTGAGAAAGGAGATATAACCCACGAATACACCATCGCTAGCAAGGCTGATATTCATACAAGCGACGACATCCTGTTTGCGGGTAAAAATTCAGCATCTCCAGTTCTTGCTTGGATAGACAACGCCAAGAAATACCTTATCATCAATGTCATAACCCAGACTGGTGCCTTCAAAGATATACTTCCAATTAGAGAATTTGACAGCCTTGAAAATATCTCCATATACGCCCCCAATCTTTTTCAATCGAGACCTCACTTTTTGGTCAACATGCAATCAAACAACTCTGACAAAGCTGGAGTATATCACATTGATCTGAAAGAAGGAAAAATAGAACGAGCATACGAACTTCCAGAATCAAACAGAAGAGGAACTATATCGATTAGCTGCCATGATACAAATGTATACTTTACCAAGATTACAAAAGACGAGATGATTAGTGTTTCATCAATATCTCCCTCTATTTTGGCAAGATGGTCAGTAAATATTGAAAACTCCGGAGAACTGTTACACGCTGCTTCTGAAGTAGTACGAAAATCAGAAAATTCTTATGCTATAAGAGCTGCTGCTCTTACTACCAGCGAAACTTTGGTTATGATAAGGAATGGCGAGCAAATCTGGGCTCGTCAAGAAGGACTATCTGGAGCTATCGCAGCTGAGTGGGTTGAGATCCCACAAACTGAAAATCTTGCTGCTACTCTTCACGCCGAGGCTCACAGCAATCCCCTTACTGCATACATTCACCGAGTTAATCGTCACTTTCATGATCTATACTATCTACCTGGCTATCTTAGAAATCTGCCGGAACGCGTACTTGGCAGTATTTTTCATACTCAGGTTACCAAAAAAACAAATCTGCTCATACGAGATATCTTTGGCTTCAATAAACTCGTAATGGTAGCCACTTTGCGTGGTAGTCTATATGCTCTCAATTCAGGTAATCGAGGTACTGTTGTATGGCTCGTGAAGATAGCTGAGACTCCTATTTCAAAAGGATGGAATGTTAAAGCGCTCTGGGGAGATAATATTGCGGGTGTTGTCAGCATTATTGGATCGGACGGTAGTTTTACCTCATTAAATGCTTCTACAGGTGGTGTAATAGAAAGAACTGGGCCTCAAACATCATCTTACACGAAACATACAGCTGTAGTAAAGAGCTCCATCGGTCGATTAATACTCAACATGGACGAAACTGGAATTCCACAGGCAATTACTTCAAACCATACTCCAGCTGGCCCGATTGTCACGAGAGGAAAGCACGGTGAGGTACAAGGAGTAAGGTTTGATGGGCCAAGCAATAATTCTCCCATTGTTGCTTGGACCTTTCAGCCAAATTTCGGTGAGGAGATTATTAATGTTGTCTCAAGGCCTAGTCACGACCCTGTTGCTTCTATTGGAAAAGTTTTGGGCGATAGAAATGTTCTCTACAAGTATTTGAATCCGAACATAATTCTAGTTACTTCTGTATCAAATAAGACATCTACCGCATATTTCTACTTGTTGGACAGTATTTCTGGCGATATTCTACACTCTTCCAGTCACGAGAGAGTTGATATCGGACAGCCTATACCTTCATTACTTACAGAAAACTGGTTTGTCTACTCTGTATGGAGTGATGTTGTATCTGATGTTAATGGTCTTCCATCCTCAAAGGGTTATCAAATTGTTGTCTCTGAACTCTTCGAGACAGCACGTCCGAATGATCGTGGTCCTCTCGATTCTACTAAACAGTTTTCAAGTCTTGAACCCTCCGATCAAGCTAACGAAGAATTGGCCTTACCACACGTTGTCACCAAGGCGTTTCTTATACCTGAACCTATTAGCCATATGATCGTCTCCCAAACACGACAAGGTATCACATCGCGGCAACTTATATGCACTCTACCTCATTCAAATTCTATCATTGGAATACCCCGCACAATACTAGAGCCTCGTCGACCTGTAGGCCGTACTCCGACTCCCCTTGAAGCTGAAGAAGGGCTATCGCAATACCAACCAACCATTGATTTTCATCCTCAAATGGTTATTACGCATGAGCGGGAAGTAATGGGGATTCAGAATATTATTACTTCTCCGTCTGTCTTAGAAAGTACTAGTCTAATCTTTGCTTATGGCCTCGATATTTTTGGTACAAGAGTAACGCCGAGTCAGGCTTTTGATATACTTGGAAAAGACTTCAATAAGATTAGCCTACTGGCTACTATCATAGCATTAGCAGCTGGTGTTGCAGTGTTGGCACCCATGGTTTGTTCCTTTTCTGTACTCTAAATCTTATCGCTAACAATTTTAATACAGGTAAAAAGAAAGCAAATAAATGGATCGTGGATGAGTACTTGAAATGTGTATATCTATATAATGAAAATTGTAACTTTATCACAGGCGGGTAACCTTTTTCGTTAACAGCCCATGCACCTTTTGTTGATCGATTTGGAGAATGTAACACTGGGATTCTTACCGATTTAAACCCTTTTCGATGCTCAGCTTCAATATGTGAGAATCTATCACCTGAAAAATTAGGTAAATAACACCTGCTATCGGGAATTTGGTTAAAAGTTCGACAAAATGTAACAGCCTTGAGAATCAGTCAATTTGCCAAATTATGTACCGTCATTGTATTTCCTCAAGCGCGTACTTATTTATCGAATAGATTATCTAAACTTTAAATATATTATCACTGTCGGAAAGTAGTTCAATTTGCTTTGCACTAAGCGTGGTGCATCTCTCTGTTGCTGAGTCATCATGTTGATGACTCAGCCAATACCGCGAACTGGACGTTCGCACTGTTCTTAGGAGAGAAGACATAATACATACCTCACTTTCGTACCTTTCGTTTTGCATTGAACTAACCTTAGGTATAGGGCTTGTCCCTCAATATCTATAAGAACAAATTTTGGCATATTTCAAAATTAAATTTCTCAAATGTAATTAGAATCTTCAGTTAGATTCACAAAGTCCCCCATAGTCTTAGACTCAGTAGGGACTATAATAAAAAAATCTTATCTAATCTAACCTTAGGTATACGTAAATTAAGGCCAATCGACAGTCACAGTACTCAAATTGAATAATTCACGAACGAATGACACGCGATGATGATGCATAACAGGTCATAGTCTAGTCATTCGTATGTTACAACCAATATTTAGACGGATGGGAAATCTCCCATGTATCACTATACTATTTTTTGTATTCTACATCTTTTCATTCAAGTTTGGTCATTTTATCTCTTATTGTATGGCACTTCCTTCCCCGTCACATCTTCCAACTGACAAACTTTTCTCATTCTACGCTGAGAGCTGGGGATGAGTTGCCGGATTTCCTCCACAATTGTTGAACCTTCTTCAAAATTTGTTGAAGTCATTACTGACTTCTTTCGGGTGCGCCTCGCACTCTTGCCTGCACCCCGGTGTTCAAGGCCTCAAAGCCTAGTCCCCCAGATATCATCGTATCCTTCGAGGCAGGTTTACTTCCTGCCTTGGCTTTCCTTCCTACAGCCTTCGCTCGGGTTACTGCAGCGAATTCTCGTTGGCTAGCCTGTCGAATTAAAACCAATTGGTCTTTGGTTATCGGGACAGCTCGAGTCGGTCGAGCCAAGCACTCTCGCCTATCCGAACGGTGAGGACCACCACATTTGCGACACTTGGTGGTAGCTGTTGCGAAGTAAGGCTGTTCAATCTGCATTTGTGGTAAGCAGTTACTATATCTCATGTGATTGGACACGGGAGCCTAGTAAAAAAAGGGACGTCCCATTAGCCAAATCTAAGCAATTATGGGCACGCATTGAATTGTAACACATTCTCTGTAGATAGACATAACAAGCAATTATCATCAATAATTGAATCAACCTCCACACAATTGGGAGCCATAGAAGTGCCAAACTTTCATACAACCCTCAATTGTGTTGTCGCAATCGCATCAGCAACGAGCCACCACAGCATTCTAGAATACACTATCTAACTGTGATGAGCTACACCGCCAGATCTAGCATACAATCACAACAGTCACTTTGCACTCTGTGGCGTGGAGGCAGGGGCAGCGACAACACTGCTAAATTTTTCTATGAGGCCAGTGCTTTGCAGCCATTTCAGACTCGTCGAAGATGCGGAAGCCCACACGAGAGGCGGAATCCCCGGCAAAAAGGGCATGCCAGCTTCTGTACGGCGCACCTGGATTGGCCTCACGCGAGTTTTACTGAGGATCTCGAGTGAGATCCACTCACCATCGAGCGTGGCAGTAGTAGCGTTAGCTATTTTGATAATCGTAGCTACATGCGCGATGCGGAGGGCGATAAGGTCGGGAGCTTCTTTCAAGTTGGCGTTGGCATTCGCCAGTGTTGGAGTCGCAATCAGTTTTTATTGCTACCGTAGCCCAGGTGCTTTTCAAAGGCAGCGCTGGGATGACGGGTTTGATTGGGCTCCTGCACTTTCTTTCATACCTAGCTATTGTGGTTATGAGCTATGCGGAAGTCACGTTGCGGAGTGATAAGGAGTGGATGATGTTATAAATAGTTGTTGACAGTGAATAGACTCATACAATATTATGCTGTAGGTGTATGGACAGAAAGTTTGTGACTAAACCTGTGTCCATTTATTGTGGGTACATCTATGAAACTATATACATACTCGCCTAACCAGTACACTAGTGATATATGCTGTAGCCTTGAGCCACACGCAATGCCCTAGCCTCGACTACCTCGTTGTCTCATATCATAACACTAGCCCCTGGCTATTAAGCGGGCTTGAGCCTCGATATCTGAGAATAAATCAATGGCATATTTCAAATTTAAATTTACCAATGGTGAATAGAGTCTTTGGTTAGATCCACAAAGTCCTTCATAGTCTTAGACTCAGTAGGAACTGTATTATGAATCTTATCTGATCTGGCTATTCAAGAACAGTGCATTTATATACTCTTATTTTGATATCAGAATATTGATGTCATACCTGGCTGAGATTTGCTCAGCCGCACTGACACTCATAGATTTGTGTACAGTAGAGGAAAAAAGAGGAGACTTTACACTGAGGGGATCACAGTTTTGCCCAGGCTGAGGAGGAATTTCCACTTGAGCGTATTCACTTCGGGTCCTTGAACGGTCGGGCTTGGTATGATTCAATACTTGGGTGAAGTTTGAGGTGGTTCGTGTTGTGATTATGAGCTTACAGTAGTCAATGAGCCGAAGCTCCTGTTTAGCATTATGCGCAGGACGTGATAACCTTGTGGTCTGATTGTTGTGTATTGAAGACTATAATGATCTAATGGAGAGAAGAATTTTCCTATGTATAAGATTGAGGTGTCTGTGCACTGAATATCACCCAACACCGCTGCCACTCTAATCTAATGTAATGCTCATGGACCGCACATTACAAAAGTTCGGCCGTTTAGGTGTAAGGAGGTTTGTTGTTCTTAAATGTCATATAACCTCGTCTAGCCCGACCCCATTCGTGCTCAGGCTCCCATAGAGGTGCAGAGGGTGCCCATTGCCTAGTGGTTAAGAATCAAACAAACACTCTAACAAGGAAATATCGACGCCTCGCTCATTGAGGTTGTAGAGTGCGTTCATTCAAGTAACAACCGAAGTGAATCCAAGTACAGAATTTATAGTCGTGTGTGTATCATCAACGTGGCCTTCTCGAAAGCCCAAATTATTCAAACTTCCAACACCCTTATACATTTAAGGTATCTGCCATAGTCACACGAACAAACCTTTTTTCTAATTATATGTTATTGTTCTTTCTTAGTCTTTGACATTGTAAGTTATGTCGGTCCTCTTCACCTCCAGGCTAAGGATAACTATACTAATAGTACATCCTATCCTATACCTCCTACACAGCTCTCATATCATCATAAACTTGCATATTGCTTATGCTCGTTGGAAGTCTCACCTCCCCAGCTGACGAAAAGAAGACTATTTGCGGAAGTTGGGCAGCCAGGGAAAATCGCAAAAGCCACTAGGAATTTGTTGTAAAGCTAAGAGCTTACGGAGGATTTATTACTAGACGATCTAGGGATAACTATCGATGAATCAACTTGAACTGCCGCTAAGTTGGTATTCAGAACTGTGAAGATTTGGGATGTAGAAAACGCTTCTTACATACACATCTGAGGTAGCTAGCTCCTCGTCTTATTTTCCCAATGCAGTATCAAGAAGAATTCTAGCATCCTGCATTTGGCAGTATAATCTAGAAATACCCTCCACATATTGCTTCATTGTTCCTCTCGTAATCGTGGAATTACCTGGAATGTTCTTCCTTCAATTCTAGTGATCATTACCCTTTCGCATCGTAATCCTGGCTATCACCCGAAAAGCAAGCCTGCCGTACATGCATCGAAATCAGAAGTCCCACTGGGGGGACAAAACTCATCACCTGTTCGGGGTGTCCTCCACAAACCTCCAGCACTCAATGTAGAGACTGCGAAGCCGAAATTAAGTAAGACCTTTGTCTCCACTTCCGTGATGGACCCTAAGGGCTCTCGCAGTCTGCATTGTCTTGATCTCTCAGTACAGCCCACTAACACCATTGGCATGAAGCTAACTACGATCAGATCAGATAGTAGGATCGGAGCCCTACTCACCACAAACCCTTGATCATAGAGGCAAAGCCATTCTATGAGTTACCGGAGCGTACCCAGCACCCGATACGGAGATGGTGGATTGGATCAAATCGGCCTCAACTATTACAAAGAAGGGAGATATAAATGAATATGCGCACCTCATGTGGTCACGGTCTCTAGGCATCGCCTGGCTGAGGCTGCAGGTACATCTAGCTGTAATTTTTACCATGGAGGAAATCAATTCAGTGAAAACTCCCAAAACTATCAATCTCATGTCTAATGGTTTTCCTGGGGTTTCCTAAGGGAAGTGTGTTTACACTATTTATACAGTTTGATTTCCGTCTTATCCTTGTCCACATCGTCTCAACTTTTCGTCCAATTCTACTTCTACTTCTTCTGCAAGCCGGAATTGTTCAAACCAGCCTTTTGCCAGGATCCATTTTGTTATTCTCTCTATGTCATCTGGGCTGTTCATCATTGCCGCAAATGACCTGTTTTTTGCTTTTCGAAGCACCTCTCCTCTTCTCATGGCCCACTGAGGACACGCCAAGACCATATGTTTGAAATTTTGAGACGGACATACACACTGACATTTGGATTAATCCCTCCGGGAACTTTCCTTCGATGCAGATAAGAATTGAGACCAATGTGCTCACTTTTTATATGAGCTGCAATACTGCTTTGGGCCCTGCTAAGCTTCCGGTGGATATTTGAGGGTATGTTACTATAGGTGAACCTTTTTCTACTTGTTGTCTCATCTATAAAATTATTTGCGGCTTTCCAATGTTCAGGGTCTGCCGAAGCTCGATGACCAGATAGTATCTCGTTCCTTGGACGTGTCCATGAGATTTTCCACTCATGAAATGCAGCCATCTTACCGGCTTCTTTTTATCTTCCTTGCGCATTCTCCATGCCACCAGATTCTGGTCCACTCTTCAATGTCTTGCTTTCGATTCTTGGCGTGTCTGTTCTCGGTTCCCCTTGTGGTCTGCTTGGTTTTACTCCGTGCAGATAGTATCGTTCTCTTGACAGATAGTCCTTCGATAGTTTTGTTTTGTTCATTTACGTGCTAGATATAGTAATTCCCGTTGCACTCCTACTGGAGCTTAAGCACGGGCGGGGCCGGGCTGGATCAGGTTAACTACCATTAAGTACATCTACCTCGTCCCACCCAAATGACCGGACCACCTCAGACTTCACCCATGTGTTGAATCATGTCAAGCACAACCGTCCAGAGAACCCCCTTTTGACGCGCCGAAGTGCAAATTCCTCCTCAGCCTCGGCCACCACGCGCCCAAGCCCTTAAAACCTTCGCCATCTGTAACTTCTCCCTTCGCTTCATTCCCAGCTTTTGCTTGTCTCAGCATCTCCTCACCTCATCCAGGGGTCGTTTTCTTCACTGGAGGCCTCATCCAGGCGCCCACCAAGGCCTCCTCAGTTTAAATTCCCTTTTGGTTCCTTCATGTAGCATCCCTCTGTCCTTCAGCCGATCTCGTCATCCCAGAAACTTTGTAGAATATCCACTCCTCCAGCCTTGCCCCTTCGCTGCCGTACCCCTAATCGTGGAGGTCGAAAACGCGACTGAGAGCTCATGACCAAGGCACCGGTGCCCCAGCCTTTGTCGAACGCTCTAGTTGGTGTGCCGGCGAAGTGTCGTACGTATTTCGTCGGTGGCGATTCGTCGCAGGTCGAGTTGTTGGTGCCGTTGGCCGATGTGAGGACGCATCAAAGGCCGGTATTTCGACCGTACCTTCACTGCGACTGGCATTTACGGAGGGTTGGAAATACTCTTGCTTTTTAGTTGGCGATTTAGCTTTTGGAGGTATGGGATTGCTTAGGTAGGTGATGAGATAATTGTGGAGAGGGCCGCGAGATGAGTTTGGCTGAGAATGAATTTCCAGAGAAAAAGAAAATAAGATGTTGAAGGTGTCGGTTGCTGTGATACAAACATCAGACATGTTATAGGCTGTCTGCGGTTCGTATCTGGGGTGTAGATGGTTGATTTCGTTGAGTTGTGCAGTCGTGAAATCTCTGCAGGTCGGATTTTCGACCAAAAATGTGCCAACACCACTCCTCCCGATCGCCAACTCGACGAAAACACTCAAATTCACCCTTTTTCGTGACTGAATCTCGGCTCTGGAAGAATATTTCACTCCCAGGTTCGTAGAGGACACCACTGACAGGTGTTCAGCCTTCGTCCTCCGTCCTTCGATAGTTAAGTAGTATATTGTAAATTAAAGAACTCACCGTGAAAACTAGAATCTTAAGTAAGATGTTTAGATTTCTAGAAGACTTATCGGAAAGATCTTTAGTCATTATCATTTCAGGGTCTGCTATCTAGTGTGCCCCACTCAAATGATTACTCTAGAATACTCTGATCCTTCAGTCATATTTTCTTAATCTGCAACTAATTTAAATGCTGGGCTTAAGAAAGAGGCATTAGATATCTAAAGCCAACAGGATTGAGGATTTAAGCAGCTCCTGACTCGTTAATGCAACCATCATTTCGATAAAATCTTTGCGTAACGTATGAAGTAAGGAAACAACATTGTCAAAAACCAACGATCCAGGTCGAGAGACTTTGGCATACTGTCTTTCGCCCTTAACTAATTTGCTTCAATACAATTCGAAGGCCCTAAAAGCGCTTCACTATCGCCGGCTCCCACCAACAACAGATATCACCACTTAATTGATTCATAAGTCGAAATTTTTTCAGTGGAACTAAAGATTTCAATGAATTTTGACGATTAGGCTTAAGATCTACCAACTGTTGAAAGTAAAACTTGAATCAGATTCATAATGAGCTGTGCATATGTTGTGCTTTTAACATCAGTAGCTCGTATGGTCGTTACGGGCCGCGAGGATACATTCTCACACTACGGTCTGTACGAAAATCTTAATGACAATTGGTTTCCTGTGCCTCCGCCTCAACTTGGCATACACATGTCCCCGAGCAAAGTTACCACACATGGCACTCACATTGTCGCATACTGCTCTGTAGTGAAAGACTTGAGACAGATTGTGGACACAATCATTCAAGGACGGCAGGAACTGGCGCAAAAGTCCAAGGATAGAGACGAAGCTTATCTGACAGCTGAAAGTACCTGTGCCAGGTCTATCGCTAAAGGAACATCTCCAGACTCACCTACCAATCCCATGTCCCAGATCCTCGGAAACGACTGTAAACCCGAGCACTTGATCAGCTTGGCCTTTAAGGGCCGGATTGGGGTTGAGGGACAATATGCATGCTTTGCACCACGAATGAGAGACCAAGTCGTAAGAATCGCTGCTGATACGCCCATAAAAATGGAGCAATTCCTATCCGGAGGTCATCTGTTCACGGGGAGTAGTGCAAGATCAAATGATCAAGCATTAGCCTGGTTCCAAGGGAATCTACATTTGTTCCAAAATACCAGATTCAATGCCGATGGCTACCGCAAATGGATGCCGATAAGTTGGATAGATGATGGGAAGATTAGTGGCAAAAAACTTTCAGAATTTATCCTTGAAAACTCACCAAAGATTCTGGAGTTCACAAAAATAATGAAGGATTTCAGAACACTCAAGTCGAAACTACAGGCAGCAAAAGCAAGTAGAGGTGATGGTAGTACAAATAATTACCGTTCTAGGTTAAGCAGCCAATTGAATCCTAAGACATACATGACAAATGATTGCCTGAGTAGCTACATAAGCGACGAAAGTATTTGTGGGAAGTTGTATGATTTACCTTTCTATCTACAAGAACATGTTGGCACATGGGACCTACGTTCCTCAGACTTACGGTTTGTGCCAGGGCGTGTAAAAAGAAAAATATTCTTCAACCCCGGAGTTTTCAACAGTACTGATTTTCAATCGCTAAATTGGAGCAACTCTTGGGAAAACCAAAAGTCAATTAACATACCACCGCAGTCAAGCACTGAATTAGCTTGCGAGAAATTTGAGGAATTTAGTCAAAATGAGATTATATGTTATTAAATATCATGTGCCACCAGAGAGAACAATTAGGAGGGGTCTACCATCACTAATGCCCTTGGTTATTTTGTAGTACTCAGGCTATTTTCCACCCACTAGTTTTTCAATGCCGAGAGCATGCTGTTGTGTACTCTACAGTGATTACTTTGTAAATTGATTGAGTCCTTGCCCATCTTCGTAGCCGCAGCCAATATAGATGATTATTGTCCTTTCTTGGTCTATCACTATGTAATATACGCAGGTACTCTCTGCCCACAGGCCAAGGATAACTATACTAGTAGCACGAGCTATCCTTCGCCTCCCATACAGCTCCCCTAAAGCAGTACCACCTCTTACAAGTCCTCATCGGATCATACACTGAGAGGGACCCTCAATCCTTCATTACCTCACATCTCTAGCCAAAGAAACGATGGCTATTTGCGGGTGTATGGCAGCCAGGAATAATTGGGAAAGATCACTGGATGCGAGGCTCTTCAAATACCAACATCAGGACTAAATCCGAATATAAAGCTTCCCATCTGAAGCGTTGAAAGAGACCGGTCACCTAGGCACAGCAGACCTATGTATGCCTGACAGCGTCTCCCTTGCGCCTCTGATTCGTGTCGTAGAATATTGTTGGAAATGGAGATACAGAGTGTTGTGGACGTACGGGCCCTCCATTTGGTCTAGATTCCCGACACGATCTTGTGTGTATTCAAGAGGTTGGAATAGTTAATACTGTAGCTCTTCAGTCTACCCATTGGATATATGAGCGGCTGTATGGCGTGGGCGCAAGGACGTTATTGGGGGTTTTCTATGCCTAGATGGCGCCAAACTCGTTTATGCTGTGGCTTAGGCTACGTGTCGCTTACACTTTCCACTCTTCAAGATTTAATCCGAACATGACACTCTTTAAGTCAATTTCTACTTTCGTTCTATAAATATTGCGCCCATTTCATTGCGCGATATTTCCAACGAATACACCGGAAGTCAAGAAAGGATTGAAGAAAAATTTACCGGTCAAGAACAATTGTCATGAAATAGCCGTGACTCTCGATATTTGTGAAGAAAAATTAAGTTATCAAAAATGTAATATATGAATAGCAGCCAGAGTTTAGTTGGTAGGGTCCTGAATTCCTTAAAGGTCTTAGACTTGAACGGGATTGTAGTAGAACTCCAATCTTTTCTTCCCATTGTTATCTGTATTTGTTTTATTGTGCTACTTGGGTGTGACTAGTTAGCACATTGGGCACCTCCCTAGCTCAGGCCACACCTAGTCCAGTGCCTCAATCTTTTTTTTACGAAATAAGGTTTACGATGCAGTGCTCATGGTATTTAGACATTCAGCCGTCTTTTCCACCGAGCTTTCAACCCAAAAAAAGTTATTATTCTCAAAAAACCTGCAGCCTCAGCCAGGCGATGTCCAGAAATCGGAGCCACATGTACTGTGCATATCCGCCTATTTCCATTTCCATCTCCCGTCTCTGTAACACTAGAGGCCAGCTCGATCCATTCCACCATCGCTGTATCGGGTGCTGGGTTCGTTCCAGTTGTTAACATTTCTATCTTGATATCGACCCGTACAAACATACCGTACATTAGTAACTCATCTTGATACTCAGGATTGCGATGGATAGCAGAGATTGATGGTGTTTATGGCAGTGCGGGGTTTAGTAATTGTTGATAGGGATAGGACACATGTAAATATATATCGCGCACCTGACTCCTCTTTAATAGCATGATGCCTCCGACTACATTCACAATGCCCATACCTACTCTGGGCTAATCAACATTTGCCATGTTGGTCCTATCATCCAATTAATGCCCTTTTCGCCCTTTTATCTTAAATGTCAGGTCATGATATTCTTCGTCTTGCTGGCCATCATCAAGCTCAGAGTTATGGACAGATGAAATCCTTATTAATGGTAACTCATTAAATGGCTTTTCCTCTATGATCAAGGGTTTGGAGTGAGTAAAGCCCAACCCTACCATCTGATCTGATCGTGATTAGCTTCATGCCAATTGTGCTAGTGGCTGAACTGAGAGATCAAGATAATACAGGCCGTGAGAGATCTTAGGGAGTTCTCATTAGAGTGAAGATAAAGGTCTCACTTAATCTTGGCTTTGCAAACTGTTATGATCCTAGTCTGCGGAGGGCAAGACTGAACACCTGTACGCAGTGTCCACTACGAACCTGGGAGTGAAATATTCTCCCAGAGCCAAGTTCAGTCAAATTTCGCAAAACCAATGAAGTTGGCCCTTGAGGCAATGATTTAAATTACTCCACCATGTCAATCTTTCAATCCCAACGAAATCGATTACTACCTAAGCCTCATCAAGTCTACAAGTACGACTAAGTACATCCTCATTCCAATGGATATATTCTCGACGGGCGTGAAATCTCGAATATTGGCCCGGAGTTTTATGAATTGGGATTTTTGAGCGCCAAGACTTCGCTCGCGAGAGTCCAGCTGACACTATAAAAATAAGAAAACGATGGAAGGTGTTGCGGTCCACCTTCTGGTGGTGTTCTCCGGTAGAGTCTGAGCAGCCTGGGCACCTCCTTCACTTGGGAAGGAGACATCTCAGATCACGTTTCGCGCGGAAAAATGTGAACGATTGATGGAGACATGTCTGGATAACCCAAGGTTTTTGAGACGTTTCCCTGGGTGGGTATTGACGGATGAGGGTTGACTTGGGGTGAAGAAATAGCCACCATAACTTCGCAGTGGTACTTGCAAATGAAATCCGAGGCATGAGTGCTCTTCTTGTAAATTGAGTCATCTATTATAAACTTCTCTGATATTGTGTCATAGCTAGATAGCTGCATACGCAATTAAAATCTGATGCGAAAATGAAATTCATCCTTACCGTAGAAAATTTCTATCTTCTCTATTTCTCCCAAGGACAACACAAAGATCTGCCTCCTAGTTATGTTTACCCTGGCGGGTATTCGTACCCTTGTGGCCGTGTAGTTAGTGGCCAGCTGGGGCTAGAGATTGAGTCAATATGAAGTGTAGATAGAAAGATAAGGGGCTACTAAGTATTACTTGTAGGTTGGATAAAACTTTGGTCTCAAATGATATTTGGCCGTACAAAATCAGTGTAGCAAGAAGCCTTGGATCAATGCCTAAAGTGCCATTTCGGTATTGGAAAATTTGACTTATCCTGGCTTTAGCTTAATATTTAACTACTGAGCTTGTGGAGGATTGCGCGAACTAGCATTCAGTCTTCATCCTTCAAACCTTCGAATTATTGTATAAGCCTGTCAGCAGGCGCTAAAATTGGTTCTGCGCCACTACAGGATGTTGTGACTATCCTACAAATTATCTTATTGCTCATAATCGAGTGAGCAAGCACGAAGAAATCGCTAGGCAGTCCCAGGTAGACTCAGCGAGTTCCGAGAAGCTACCATTTGTAAGCTACATTATTTCTTTCAAACATAAAAGATTTCACAGCAAAAAATGTGCGAGTCGGCCGGCAAAGATGGATTCTTCAGCTTCCAGTGGTGCCGGTGTAATGGCTCAGTATGCTCTGCATATCTGGGATAGCCAAGAAGAATCGCATCCAAATCGAAGTCGAAAGCACTCACATGCACATCTAAAATCGACGACTTCTCGTGAATATCGGATCTATCATTCTCACGCGAGTACTTCACCTCAATCTTACTACACCACCTCGCCTAAAATACCGATAATAGCGTTACTCCAATTGCAATCGGGCATTTGCCTCATCAAAAACCGGCCATCTCCCACTACACATTTACGATGCTATCTATACCCGCAAGAAAACTATATCATAATCAACAAAGCTCGGGTCTTGGTCCATGGGGGACCGTTGCTCTAATGGGGCCTCACATCTTGAGGGAGGACAGGCACCTGGGACGTGGGACGAACGAGTGAAGAGGTCATAAATGGGCATGCGGGGACACACATTTTTTAATTGTTTTCGACTTAAGAGCATATGTGAGCGCAGAGGCAACAATTTCGGATAGTGCAATCGACGCTCTAAAAACAGACAACGATGGAAGTTGTTTTGCTCCGTCTCCTGGTCGTCATCTGCCCGAAATAAAGTCTGGGTAGCCTGGACACCTACCTCCCTCGAGAAAGGGAGGATTGTGAGGCCATATCTCGCGCGGCAGCTATATACAAGATGGCAAAGGCATGTTAGGGTAGCCAGAGTTTCTTTCTGTTTTCCTATTGGTGGATATTAACGGTTAAGGGAAGGGTGAAAGTCCCTAGCACTAAGGTCTTGAGTGGTATCAGCAAATGCACCTGTTGAAGTTGGCGCTACTTGGCAATGAAAAGTCGCATTGATACGGAACATAATAAGGTTCTATTATTTTTTATTTATTTATCTTTATTTAACGTCTGGCGGATCACGCGTCAAGCGAGTAACCCTATTAAGTCCCTACTGAGACAAAAGACGCCAGGATTTAATCTCTGGGCTTCTACATGTTTTAAAGGAAAGCAAAAAAACAAAATTAAACTATTTAACATATAAAGGAGGTGCATTCACATAGCTACTTCCCGCAGTTTGTTAGGCTCTTATTTGTGGTGGTAAGATACTTGCTCGGCGCCATTCTCTGCGCAGGTCAACCCACACTCCCTGTTGACCTCCACTACCGGAAAAATAAATTAGAAAAAAAAAGGAGTCTAAATTGCTTATCTTCCTTCCTTCGTTTGCTGGTTTTTCGCGACACTTGAAACCTCAAGATTATGGGCAGATATCTGTGAAGAATCGGGTTTCCTGTAGCCATTCTCCAAATCTTTGAACTCCTTCATATGTGCCAAGAATGAACTGGATAATTTCCGAAGGCGGACCCTGCATTAGTCGTGATCTTCTTTTCGCTATATGACAGAAAAAGCAATGTAGTGGGGCCTTACGACGGCCGCATCGGCAGTAATTTGATGCATTTTCATGATTGAACCGCTCGTGATAGTCAGCGAAGTCGCCGTGCCCAGATCTAGCTGCTAGAATTCGACCTAGAGTGGCGCGCGGAAGGGCAAGTTCTTTTGGCCTAG